AAAAACATGCCGTTAATTTTTTTTTTTTTTTTTTTTTTTTTTTTTTTTTGGGGCGGTCCAAAAAAGGGGCAAAGGAAAGGTCTGCTCTATTTGAGGAGAGGGCGCGTCGTCACTCGCATAAGTATGTTTAATAATATTTATATATGTGTTTATATTTGTTCTTCCCCTTTTTTTCAGCTTTTTTTCGCTCCTTTGGCAACTCCACATCTTTACAATATTTCGTTCAAAGTTGGCACAGTTCGTGTCATATGTCGTGATTGGACAAAACGGAAAGGCAACAACGGATTTGCCGCTCTCTGGCTTCACTGTTTCATAATTTTGTACTCGGGAAAAGTTGAAAACATGGAGATCAAAATTGTGTACGGTATTTGACGAAGCGCCATTTGAGTTTTGCCAAATGAATTGTTTGGAGAAGTCAATTTGGGTGGACACAAACAGTTGTGAACAGTTTACAAAAAAAAAAAAAAAAAAAATGATACACAAATGGGGAGGAGCAACAGTTGTATGTAAATTTCGTGTATGCATTATAAACAAACTGCAGAGTGGGGTGAGCATCCAGGGACAAATGCGTACAACGCCGTAAAATGTCCTTTGCACGGGGATCAGACACGCTGCTAACCGTTGAAGAGGCCCACATGGAGAGGCTTCCAGCTTCCAAGCCATTGCAAAGCTTATGCTCTCACGTAAAAGCACACCATAATATTCTTCTTGTCATCACTGCATCCTAGCCGCAATGCCGTTACAAAAATGGCAAATTTTTAAACACCTTTTTCTGAAGCTCTAGGTACCCGCCCTTCATATTGTAGGTAAATATCTGCTTGTCCTGAAATTCCGATTTGTCAGCAGTTTTCTGCGTTGGGGAAATGCTGAGGGTATTTTCAGGAGAAGAATGATGATGAGGAGATGTTTTGCTCCCCTCTGTCGAATCAACGAAAAAAAAATTATTAAAATATTTGGCAACCTTCAAAGAATCAATGCCTCGTCTGCATATAACAATGATAACAACATTTCCAGTACGTTTGGATAATTGCAGTTTGTCCAATATTAGCTTAGTGAGATCGTTGGAGCTGCTGGAATAATTATTTATACATTCCATAATATCGTAGAAGCTCCACTTGATAGAATCCTTTAAGCCGTACACATTAGCGTTGTTGTATTTGCGTACATCCAAAATGCATAAATGGTCTACTGGGAAGGGGAAAAATGAGAAATTCTTCTTCAGGACTTGGAGAAAGGGGAAGACTGCTATGTCGTATTGGTAGGCGGACATGACTTTGCCGCTGACGCAGGCCAGGTCAGACGCGTTGCCCCCCCCACCTTGGTAGTCGTTTCGCTCGATGAAGTGGCGCAATTTTTCAGAGTCTCCCCAGGCGCAAATACAATTGTTATTTTTTCTATTCATGTTCAATGTTTCAAATGGTCTCCTACTGGATAGACTATTGTACGTTAAAAACTTTTGCAAACTTTCCTGATCCAAATTAGCGGACAATTTGATCACTTCATTGGCCTGTAAAATGCCAATAATTCCAGTTACCGTGGAGAGGATTCCATTTTCATCACAGTCATTTTGTTCTGTGTGGTTATTAAAATTTTGAAGGCACCTATAACAGTTGGAAGTTTCTTTAGTCATATTAAAAACGTTTAATTGTCCATATAGCCCTAGTGCACTTCCGAAAATTAATTTCTTTTTGTAGAGCACACACAAGTCATTAATTAAAAATCGGGTCGCAATATTATCTGTGCAATCAACAACAATGTCGTAATGCTTGAGAATCTGCAATCCATTTGTTTTGTCTAAATGAAATGGGTAACATTTTATATTGGCATTGTCGTTTCCCATGTTTTTTACAGTCATTTTGGCTGAGAGGGTTTTATTCATTCCGGTATGTTTTTCTGCATGTATTATTTGCCTCTGTAAATTTGATACCTCTACCGTATCTCCATCCATTAGTCCTATTTCTGCAAACCCAAATTTGGTTAAGTAAAGACAGACTGGGGAGCCTAGTCCTCCCAAGCCAATAATTAAAACCTTCGTCTTGAAAATCTTCTCGAGCGAATCACATGGAATGTCTTGTATATTTATGTACTTGGCATATTTGTCGATTATTCCTTTATCGAAGTTTTTATAAAAAAAGTCTTCTTCCATCTTCTGTACTTTTACGTATTCATGTGATGACAACATGCAGGGACATATGGCTGCTACTACCTTGGAATGTATCCACTTTACGATTTCGCTCACTTTTTTTTTTTTCTTCCCGTTTCCCCATTCTGCTATTTCTTTTATGTAAAACCCGAGGAGGAAACACAGTCCGCACTTGATGAGTTGTTCTTTTAGGAGTTTTCCCATTGGAGAGGGGGAGAAGGCTACAACCAATAAATGGCCGAGTACACAATTGACAAAAAGGGGAACACAATCTTGAACAAAATGGCGGCAAATAGGAAATTAATCCGAATTGGTCGAATTGAGATCCAAAACAAATGTTGAGTAAAACGACATATGAATGCAACCGCTTCGACGAAGCAGCCACGGTGCAGTTGATAGGTTAAGGAGCTAGGCGCGGAACATTCTGCAAAACCTACGCACCAAATGGCGTAGCTGTATGATGAAATTAAAAAAAATTGGTTAAGGGGGCTTGGGGTCGCTTTGCATCTAACCCATTTTGTTGGCATAAAATTTGTGGGTGCAAAAAAAAAAAAAAAAAAAAAAAAAAAAAAAAAAAATGGGCGTGTAGTGGGGGGAAATGAACGGAGTTGAACTACATTGAAGGAACTAAGCCGAACATGTGTTCCTTCTATTGGTTCTTCCAAAAATTGTATAAATAGAACGTGCATTATAAGTGTAGCGGGGTACCTACCCATGGGAGTAACTTTGGCTGGCACGTATCAGGCAAGAAGAATGGAAGTTTCCGCACGTCAGGAAATGTACGTATATAAGCGCACAGTTCAGTATGTATGATAACACTCCTCTATGACCAAAGGGTCGTATGCATTTAGCCACTGCCCCCCGTTTTTACACAATTTTGCAGCGTGAAAAGTACTCCATAGGGCATTCATCGCAGTAACTGACTCTCAAGTGGTAACATGCCCCTCAAGAGAGAGGTAGATTTAAAGAATGACAGTAAGCATTTTCAGGAAATGTAAAAATGCAGATCCTATGTAGGCGCCAAAAGAGACTACCAGGGGTTCGGTATTTCTCTTCAGGGAATAAACAAAAGGTAAGTTTTTAAAGAGAGTGCTCTTTGGAGGCGGTTCAAAGTGGACCCACGAGATGGTTAACTGTCGTTAGAGTTAATGTCATAGGTTAAAAAAGAAAACATAAATAACTACATTTTGCAGTATGTGTAGGGATGTATACACCTGGTGGAAATAACCGTGTCGACGACTTGCGCGCACGGAGTTGTCCCTCCATAGCCTTGTGTGTAGGGTGGTGCTGCTGTTCAGGGTTGCACCAGATGTATCACGCGACGTTAAGCAGCGCGTGCTTAATTATGTTGTGAAGTTCTGCCCATTTTTCACATTTCCACTTGTTCACTTTTGTTCGAAGGAAGAAGTGAGGAAAACCATTCTGTATGACGTGCACAAAAAGAACAACGCGATTTTCAAAATCCAGAGCGGGTACTACCTCCCGAATGAATACAAAGACTATACGTTGATAACATCGCATTTACACACGAGGTCAAGTTGCTCCCTTTTTGATTACACATACAGACCAATCTTAAAAATAAGTGGGGCAGATAAAATAAATTTTTTAGAAAAGTACGTGGGTAGCGACATCAAAGGGTTGTGGGAAAATGAATGTCGAATAAGTTTGTTGCTGAACGAAAAAGGAGGAATCATAGATGACATAGTGATTATACTAAGGGAAAATCATTTGCTACTATATTTAAATATACAGTGCAAGAATAAGGTGTTTAGTTACCTAAAGGAGAAGCTTTTGGAGAATACCAAACTTGATGTGAAGGTAGAAGAGTACACTTCTCACAGTTCAATATGCATTCAGGGGAGTAAATCGGCCAATGTGCTAAATGAAATAATAGGGGATGATACCTACTTGGAAAATTGTAGCTTTATGTCAAGCAATATTACCAAGTTGAATAATATAGAGGGGTGTGTACTAAATAGGTATACCTGTACTGGTGAAGACGGGTTTGACATTTTAGTACCAAATAAGCACGTGCAAGAATTGTACGAATGTATTTTAAACAACTCTTTGGTTAAGCCGGGTGGATTAGAAGTTCTGAATACACTGAGATTGGAAAGTGGATTTTGTGTTTATGGAAAAGATATCAATGAAAATTTGACTCCCATCGAATCGAATTATAAATGGGTGCTAGGTCAGAGGAGACTGAAGGAATTAGATTTCAATGGTGCACATATTATAATGAACCAAATTAAAAATGGTACAACTATTAAGCGAGTCGGGATAATCATGAACTCTACTATCGTTCCAAAGGAGAATTCAAAAATTTACACCAATGAAAATGCGCACGAAGAGATAGGTTACATAACCAGCAGCGTTTTTTCTCCTCTCCTGCAGAAGCCCATTGCTATGGGTTACGTAAAGACGGAGCACACCGCTGTTAATAATCTTATAAAAGTGGAATGCCTGAACAAGTTGGAAGTTGCTCAAATTAGCAAAATGCCATTTGTCCCCCTGTCCATATATAAGATGTGAAGAGGGGTGTTGCGGCCAGTTCGGAGATGCGCGAGAAGGGCGGTTTTGAAGCCTCTACCTACGCATGTACGGACGAGCACTTATGTGCGACTATGTGTGCTCATGTATTGAGCACCCCGCTGTTTGTACCTATCATCTGCCACCACACGGATATGTATCTTGTTCCTAATTACATATTGTAATGTGGATGGTACCCGACACAAACAAACTCATCATCTATATCACAAGGTTTTAATTCACTTAACCTGGATGGGGATAAAGTTCCCACTCAGCACCCCCCCTGTTTTTATGAACGTCCAAAAAAGGAAGCACAAAAACGCGAAATTTTTTGGGCCATTCTTTTTCGTAAGTCTGTTTTTTCCAGTTATATTATTTGCTGTATTCTCTTTGAATGCATAAGCACACATTCTATCATTTCGTAAGTTTCACTGGAATGTCCACAAAAATGGGAACAAAACTTTTTCAAAGACCACGCATTGCACGTGTCACATTGCAAAGACCACGCTACACACACATGTATGTGCACACGTTGTGTATTTACGGACCCTTTCGTTTTTAATTCTCGAGTGCGTCCATAACACAATATTGCATAAATGTTTGCAAAATTTTGCAGGAGTTATTTGCACATCGTTGTTCCTATAATTTTTTCAATTGCATATTTCGATTTTTTTTTGGAAATTTTTTTATCGCTTTTCTACCTACTTTGAATTTCTTCGCCTGACAACTTTAAAAAACAAAACAAAAAAAAAGCTAGCTAATTGGTTAGAAAAAAAAAAAAAAAAAAAAAAAAAAAAGCTAGCTGATCAAACTGTTGGTTTTTTTGCCCAATCTGTTGGCGAACGCCTTTTTAATGATGTTCTTTTTTATGTTTACAAAAATATGTTCATAAGACATGGACAAGTTGAACGAAAGAAGTAACTCTACTTATTCCTTCTTTTTTAAAAATTTGTCCGTCACTGGGTTTTCTGAGGACAACGCCCTGTTTATGACTGTGAAGGAGCTGTTTGACAATTCCATCGATGCTCTGTGTAGCGTAAAGGGGAAAGGAAAGGAAGTGCAAATTTTAATAAGGGAATACAAGAAGGAGTTATCTCTGTACGAAATAGTTTGTCGAGACAATGGAGAGGGCGCGGAGATTAAAGATTTAGAGAAATTCTCGGAGATCTTTTTAACATCCAAAGATGAGAGCAAAACTGGTGGGAAGTTTGGCATTGGATTGAAAACAATCCTCTTGTACTCTTTCAAAACGGCTTACGGGTTTTTGCACTTGAAGGTCAGAGTAGAAGAAAAAAAAATATGGGATTTTATGTTACTAATTGACAAGGATTTAAGTCACACATTTGTACAGAATTTTAAGGAGTATGTGGACGAAGAATGGAAATGGTCCATAGAAATATCAGTCATTTTAAAAATGAACAGTACATGTAGCGTGTACGATAGGAGAATTTCTTTTTATATGATGTTAATCCTCCTGTGGAAGAAGGACATAAATGTCCAATGCTCTTGTGACGGCGTGCAGGAATTTACACACACATGTGAGGAACAGCACCACACTGATGATGAACACCAGTTGTTAGACTCATTTGTCCCTAACTGCACAAATATGATATTCAGGAAAAGGAACCTAACTTCGCACAATTTTAACACAAACATGTATATAAACGTTCGAAAATCTGGAAAAGTTGATGTCAACGGGACGGGCATCCATATGGGTTTTGTCTTTTTAATTCGTTACGTGAATTCCATGCCCCTCTGGGGGAATAATGCAGCTGACTGTTCCATAACGAAAAGTTTTATGTAAGACAAAGGGGGGGGTGCTTCATAAGAACGGGCGCAGGGATGCTGTCATATTGCGCAAGAGTTGTGTGGGATGATACGTTCGTTCGGTTCGAGAGTTGTTCCCACGGAACATGCGCGTGGTGCTGGATTCATGTGTTACCGCGCCCAGTACCTTCGTGTCGTCGTGCTAACGCGTTAACGGGTTTGTTCCCATCTTCATAACGGCAGGAGCTTCCTAAAGTTGTATGGACCTCAATTCGGGATGGAGCTTTTCAACGTGATAATTTTTTTGTTCGCATAATTGTACGCGGTTATGCGGGTGGGGGCATGTGCCTTCGCATGTATGTGCGTCTCCTCCTCTGCGCATGTAGAACATAACTATCGCCCTTGCACGAACAGGTCGAAAATCTCGAGGAGATATATCCGGATGAATTGATTAGTCTAGAGTGCTTTAAAGATTTAAAGGAAGTAACGACCATGACATTTGAGGGGTGGCTTCCCAATAGTACAAATCCATATCGAGCAAACGTTTCTGTTTACGCATGTACACCACTGTGCCTTCCCGCCGCAGATAAGTCACACATTTCGGGTTAAGAAGTCGGAGAAATCCACATGGGACATAATTCTTTTAGTAAAAAAAAAAAAAAAAAGAATAAGTAAAATAAAAATAAATATTGTATATGAACAAATAATCTACGGAATACAAGACAGGATAGCCTGGTGGAAGGAACCCTATAGACATACCATGCTTTCATTTTTGCTTGCCAACAGGGAATCGACGTCCGAGGGAGTGACATTTCCTTTGCCAGTTTGAGCAAAACCTTTATAAATGTACCTGTCTTTGTTCGCATATCGCTGGAGAGATGTCTCATTCTACTTTTAAGAAGTTTTATTTGTACATTTATTTTTCTATGTATTTTTTTTTTTTTTCGAAGGAAGGAAAAAGTCTATCGAGCTTGATAAGCAAATGTGCGCTTGGCTTATTCAGCAGCGTGAAGGCGGATTTCCCGGATGAGTTCGAGAGTTTGTCGGACTATCAGGTGATGTTCTACAGCTAGCATAAGGAGCTGAAATGTCGTCAATGCAAAGCACATCAACAAAAAAAAAAAAAAAAAAGGGATGACTCCCACACGATGTTGACAACACATCGTTTCACGTTCACGATACATACAACCAAATATTTTAACAGCTCAGACAGGCCTTAGACATATATGGTGTCCAGCTGGCTTCCTCGTTGAGCAAAATAATTTTAAAAGGACGAAACGAATTTAAGAATAAGGTTTTTTTTTTACTCAATGAGAAAAAAAAGGAGATTAATGGTGACATTTCGGAGGACAGCGGGGAGACTGCCACGCTTGGCAGATCAAGCGAGAAGGAGCTAATGGAAGAGTTGTACTATTATATCAGGTAGGCGAACATGCCCCTATGGAGATAACAAAGGGGAGGGGGGGGGGGACATGATTGTTTACTTCACCTCGTGTAATTACATATAATCGTAAAAGTGGCTGCTATGAAAAGAACACTATGTCTGCATTTTTTTTTTTTTTTTTTAAAACAATGGATATTAAATAAATGTTTATTTTTTTCAAAAAAAAAAAAAAAAAAAACGTGGTTTTTTGCATGAAGGTATGACATGCTGGTTCGTTAAAATGAATCACATGAAAAATTGATATGTTTGTGTGCACATAAATTTGTAGGGAAAAGGTTTTGAGTGAAGAGAAGGGACACGAGCAAGCTAACATTACTGTGAAGGATTATTCTTCCGGAGAATCAAACGTATCAGATTACGAAGATGACGCGCGGGACGGCGATGATATGTAGCGTGAGTAACTTTTGGGTAGACAAAAAATTAAAAAAAAAAAAAAAGAGGGCAAACGAGGAGGCCACCAAAAAAAACAAAGCAAAAAAAAAAAAACAACATGGAAATGTGGTGCCGGGCCTTCTGGGTCAAGGAATGAACAATGGATAAAAATGTGCCTTCTCCGTATGGCACCATGGTCTAACATGCCACTTCTGCATTTGGTGTTTTCTACAACAATTGTGCCTTCTCCGACGTACTTTACGGACATTTTGCTTTTTCCTTTTATACATTCCGTGTCGTACACGCACAGAAATGCTAACACATACGTATTATCCACATGTGTGCACATGTTGTTCACATGCGGTTTTTTTACAAAAGGCAACCCCCGACACGTCCGTCCCTCGTGGAGGAACGTCAGGAAGGTGCTTGTCTACATCTACCTTCCCTCCCAAACTGGGCGAGAAGATTTACTCGATGTCGATGTTGGTGGTCGACAGGGACGAGTTCATTATGTTCATGTTGTTCAATCTGCGCTTGGTGACAACGGAAATGTACGCAATGGCAACTACCCCCAGGATAAAGCCAATGAAGAGGACGATGAGATTGGCCCAGTGGTTCTCCATTTCTGCGGTGGGGTACAAAAAGGGGTGTAAGTTATTACATATGGGGTGTACGTTGCTACAAAGGGAAGTACGTTGTTACAAACGCGGCCAAACCCATTTTTATGCAACACAGCACTTTTTTTATTCCTACCATCTATGTTGGAAATGTCCTGAAGCAAAACGCCAATGTAGACAAATATACTTATGCCTGAGAGGGGGAACGGGGGGAAAAAAAATAATAATAAATAAAAGCAAAATTTTAAGAGCACATATAAGGGGATGAAGTCATTTGGAGCTACACTTCTATCATTCCTCATGTCGACAAACGCTTCGTCTCTCCTCATGGCGAGCTTTCTGTTCTTACTGGGCAAGGAAGAGACGGATCCCAGCGCGAAGTGCTTGTACTTGAGGGACGTAACACCGAGTATATAGCTAACGACAGCGGCTGGCAAAATAGGAGACAAACGTATCAACAGGACAAAAGAGAGTCCATTGGAATTTATGGCTTGATTAAATGCTAAGTAAATCGGATAAACCATTAGCTTCTTATAAATAAAGTCATGCATTAAATATCTTGAAATGAAAAAGCACAGTGACATTCCCAAGATGTATCCAGTGGCAACAGAAAAGACGGCGACAATTATGCCCAAGAATTTTCCATACACCCCTGAGAATATAAGTCCCGCACCAACACACATAATTTCGACTGACATGAACAAGGGGGATGTACATGTGAATAACAAAATGAACAGGAGGATGCTCCAGGAACCTTGTTCTCCAACCCATTTTATAACTATATTAATTAGGTCTAGGAATTTTTTAAATTTTGTTATTAAAAATACTAAGAGAAAAAAGATGGCCAGAATAATTAGTACCTTCATTAGCACCTGCAGTTTGGTTCTCATATTATTTCTTCTTGAGGAAATTAAATCATCAGGCTCCATTAGCATGCGATTATTCTCTAGATCCTTATCTGAATTGTATTTATGTTCAAAATGATAATGTGTTTCAGAGCAGTCTTCTTCGTTACTATCGTAGTTGATATTGTTGTAGTTGCTCTTACTCTTGTTATACATGGACTTATTGCTTATTAGTTTTTCTTTCTCCATGGTGGAGTTATATTTTTTATTATTTTGGGCGTAATGGAAGTCCCCATTGATGCCGTTGTTGGCGCTCTGGGCGCCCTTTTTCATGAAACCATTCATGTTGCTATTGCCGTACATATTTGTGCTATTACTTTTGTTTAACAAATTTTGACCATAGCTGTAATTCATACCACTATGATAATTTTTACTCATGACATCTCCTTCTCCTTCTGTTTCATTATACACTCTATCATAATTGTTGCTTAAATACTCATACTTTTTTCCGCTGTGATTTTCTATATTATCCATTTCAGGTGTATTCAGGATTTTTGTTTCTGGGGAGGGGGTGACGACAAGTCTGGTTGTCTGGGCGATGACTCAACCGACCGTTCACACGACCGTTCATACGACCGTTCAGCTGACCGTGCGCGACTCACTTCCTCACTGTCCAACGAACACTCACGCGAACACATGAAAGTATTTGTGCCCGCTCCGCAGCGCCAACTGATGTTGCCAACTTGTACATATAACTCAAATAACGCTTGGTGGTATTATACTGACTCACATGCACGTTAGCAATTTGTGCACCTGGGCGGTTGGCTAACTTGCATTTTTTTCAACGTCTACAGGACTATACGTATATGTGTGTGGGGGTATAGCGATACTACTCATGCACTCGCGCATAATTAGACGTGTATGCCTTGGCCCTTGTCGATGGGGTTTTCGCAGTGCTCATTTCTGTTTTCCACTCTGTCTAACTGTAAATAAGTGTTTCTTCATACAAGAGTTTGGTTAGCTTGCCCTTTTTTTTTTTTTTTTTTTTTTATGTGTGTGCGAGGCGTGTCAGATAGCTACGTGCAGGGGAGTATGCGTACGTAGGAAGGTACACACGCGTATGCACAAAGGAGCGAACATAAGCGAATGTGCACAAGCGAGTTGGAAAATATATAACTCCCACTGTAAGCGTCTCTCTCAGGGCTACACTTCCTCGTCATAAAACGTGTATTAATTAAAACGGTTGAAAAGGGAAAAAAAAAAAAAAAAAAAAAGGGAGAAGCAGAACACGATTGGAAAAAAAAAAAATGAATAAAATATGGGGAAATCTGAAACATTCAAAATCCACTTATCCAATTTAAATCATATCACAACAATTACTTGTATTCATATACACTAAAAAAAAAGGGAAGGCAAGGAAATCTTCGTCAAAGTGTATATTAACATATATTAGTACGCATTATACAGTATATATTATGTATTTAAAACAACACAAATGCGAAGGTAAAATGCGAGGCGGAAAAGGCGGGTGGGGAGCGTACAGAAAAAAAAAAAAAAAAAAAAAAAAAAAAAAAAAAAAAAAAAAAAAAAAAAAAGATGGATGAGCGCTAAAACTTTCGGAAGATAAAAAGCGAATGAAGTCAAACTACTAAATGAAAACTGCTGAGGCGATTGAAAGTTCCAAGGATGTGGCATGCAGGTTTTTTCATCACTTCAGTTGCAATTTTTAAAATTAGGAATATGCAAAAATAGGTAAAATAAAAATATAAATATAAATAAAAAAAACTAAACACGAATGAAATGCAAGTGACGGGAACGGTGAAGGGCGAATAAAAAAATGTGAGCGCTACTGCGCCGGGCAAAATTGAATCGGTGGTCCTTTTAACCGCCGCGCCCGGTATTACATTTATTACAAGTATGGTAGGGTAAATCTCAAATAATATAATAAAACTATATGCATATGTAGGTATGTATATATGTACAGTTAATCTCTGCGCGTAATTTTATTATACGAATTGAATCATCCAATAAACCTTGTGCGAGTTTCTTAATTTTAGGCCATTTTTCTCGTCGCGCAGGTTGTTCTTATATATATATATATGTATGTGATGTGAAATCACGTCTTAGCAGTTTTGGGGCTCACCCACGCCAATTCCTTTTAAAAGCTGTGCTACCGTAGGGTTGCAGTAGAACATAATGCGCACGCTTATACGGACATACACGCGGACGGATGGGCATGCATAAGTATATTAGTTACATGTTTGTGCACGTTTCACTATTTGTTTACTCCACATGCTTCTACGCACTTTGGAAAAGCTCAATGTAGCGACCGCTAAGCTTATCGTTACTGGTATATGGCATGGTAATGTGCCGACTTGGGGTCTCACCTGATCATGGATGAGTGTTGAGCGCCCAGTGCAGAGGTCGTACGGGTGCAACATTCGCACGCGCAAAAATAAAGACATCAAAAATGCCGCTTATAGATAACCACGCGGGGGTGTATATACATATATGCATGTATATGTATGTATGTGTATTATATGCGCGCATGTGTACAAATGTACGTGTGCTTCCTTTGTTCGGCTAAGGTCGGTTTATATTTTTCTGAAATGCCATGGGAGGCAGCGAGGGCTATCCAGAGTGTCTCACTTTCATCCTCCAAATTGGCAGTTTCTCCATGTCCATAAATTCTCAGCCTTTTATTTTGCGTAAGCGAACCCTTGTGTATGAATAACGGAAAATCTTTTGCGCAGTGGGGTGGGGAAAAAACGGAGGGCCCACGCGGGGATAAACGCAACAGAAAGGGATGTACAAACACAAGTTGGCCGTATAAACGCCAAGTTGACGTGAAAAAAAAACAACACAAAACAAATAACAACCTGAGGGAAGTAGCAACCGAATGAAGTGGCAACCGCGGAAAGTGCCAAAGGCGCAAAAAAGGAACCCGTGAGAAAATTAACCCAAGCGAGGCTGCTCAGCCAAATGATCTATGCGCATGTGGTTCTCTCCTCATGAATTTTAAATTCGAAAAAAAAAAAAAAAAATTTAGGACGGCCAAATAAAAACAACTGTGTCTACATATATGCACAAATGAATTGCATATGTGGTTACATGGAGAATGGCACATATACCCTTTGGTCTACTCCATTCGTGTTAATCCTCGTAACACACACGCGAGCTCAATGACCCTTACAACGAAGTTAATATCCACATGAGATTAACCCGTAATTTACGCATATGTGTGGTTCAACTGAGTAAATGTGTACGGTGAGAAAGTGTGGGGATGTTCATTTTGTTTTAATTTATTTTGCTTATTCTTAAAAGAGTTATTTTGTTTTATTGTCAAAGGGGGTAAGGCGTAAATGTTTTTTTTTTTTTTTTTTTTTTTTGTTCCCACTATATTTACCCTCCGGCAAGCGGCCAAATGTGTAAAGGTGAATAGTCATATATATATTTATACACTTATTCGCTCTTCTGTTCAACCTTTCTTTTTTTTTCCCCCTTTTTTCCATGTTCGCGCTCAATTTATATATAGAAGGAACAAATCGTTACTCCTTTGTCTGCGCGGAAGGAATTCCCCACCAATATATAACTTTAACGAGTTGGATAAAAAGTTGACCATTCAGCGAAAAAACACGACTGGCATTTTCCGCTGGGGAAACAATTCTTCGCGTTGTCATAGGGGGGGGGAACTTTTCCTTCGTGGTGGTAAATTTTTATTCAGTGCAGTTTAATTGGTACACATGAACAGGGGAAACAAAAAGGAAAAAAAAAAAAAGATGACATCAAAGAAGTAGAAATTGAAAGGGCAGGAGACGCCGCCTCAAAGTAGGAGTGTTAAAAGGAGCGCGCAATAATTTTACCAAAATGTGAATAAATAGAAAATTACATATGTCCATGTTTTCCATTTCGTGACAAATTTTCGCATGTACCACATACGGTAAACGTGCCACCTAAATAAGTGTACACAGAAGGGTACGTAAATTAAGCGACGACGAAGAGGTAATATATGGAAAAAAAAAAAAAAAAAAAAAAAAATGAAATAACATGCGTACAAGACCAAGGCGCGCTTGTGATTGCTCCTTAGACTTCTGTATATATTGTTCACGCTGCGCACTATATATTTGTTCTTTGTGGTCCGCCTTTTTATATTTTTTTAATAAAGTATTTGTACCATTTTTTCACCTTATTTATTTTTGTCGCGGTGAATTTAGTTAGGAACTTCATTCTTTTGGTTTTTTCGTTCCTCCTTGGTTCCTTTTTTTTTCCCGTTTCATTCCTTTTCTTTTTTGCTCGCTTCTGCCCGTTTCTGTTCGTTTCTGCTCGCTGCTGTTCGCTTCAGTTCCTTTGATTCTCAAAACTGCAAACGAAAGTATAATGACATTTGCGCGAAACGGGAGTTATAACTTCTTCTTTGAGAAAGTGTTAGAGGAAAAGGAAGAGGCAGAACAAGAACAGGGAGAGTAAATAAACGGACCTTACGAATATATCTAGAACGAATCATATTTATATGATGTAGTTTTTTTTTTTTTTTTTTTTTTTTTCCCTTCCCTTGTTCGAAGTTACTTCTCGAAATTTAAGCCCCCCCGTCGATGACAATGAATAACATGAAAGCTTTTGTCGAAAAGGTAAAAAAAATGAAATAACAGAAAAATGGAGAAAAGGAGATTTTTTCACCTTGCCGTGGGTGGCAGCATAAATGTGGGATGAGATTACCTTAGTGTGCATCGCACGGGGGATCCCCTCCCAGTCCGTATGTTGTATGTGTTCAAATTGGTGCTCCTGTAGATGTATATAACGGACGCATCGCCTTAGGTTCAGCTCCCTGTGGAAATGTCAAGCGTGTGATATGCCTTTTCCCCGCCCCCTGTTCGCAGTTCCGAAAGTCATGTGATAATCTAAAGCAGGATGACGAGCTCTACATGGAAAGAAAACAACTGAACTCACTTCACAACTACTTCTCTCACTCACTGCTATATCTGGAGAGACTAGAGAATGTTATAAAAAATATAAACATCATGATAAGTGATTTGAATAGAAGTCTAATGTCCTTTTTTGAAAATGACGTGAACTTGGAGACAATAAAACAGGTGTCGTATATACTTAACACTTTTAACGATGTAAGGGAGCAAATAGTTAGCCATATAGCAAATTCGAAGGTAACGGCAAATAACACCCTTGAAAATATAAAGACGTTACAGAATTTGTGCACGAGGAAGAAAAATTTAGGAGCGTCGATAGAACACTATGAAAAGAAAATTAGAAAATTACAACTCGTTACTCCTTCGAACCAGAAACATTTGGACAAGGTGATTAGAAACGAAGCCAAGTTGAACATGGTAAAAAATGATTACCTAAAATATCATGACGCTATTAAGAAAGGGTTTGAAATTATTTTGGAGAATAAAACTAATAAGGTTTTATTTGATGCTCGGAAGGACTTGGAGATTTTGTTGTGTTACTTTTCCCTCATGAATTCGGTTTCCCTCAAGTTGAAGGACCCCTTGAAGGAGCTGGTACGCACAAATAAGGGGGAAAAAAAAAGAGCACAAAGCGTCCGTCAGACTGCTTTTTTTGGCGCAGTGTTCCCTTTTCGTGAACATAATGTGGCGTGCATTTGTTTGCGTGCGCACATCCCATTGGATATACGTCCTAATGACGCCCCCCACACACACACGCACTTCCCCTATAGAAATTCGAATGCCTGGAAAATAAGAAGTCCAAGAAGCCCATCGATTACAACTTCTTCCTGGAGGAGGAGGACGACATGAACTTCTTCAAAGAACAGAAAAAAGGGTTAAGTCACAGCCACAGTCACAGCAACAGCCTGCAGAGCGTGCAAAATGTGCAAAATGTGCAAAATACGCAAAATTCGCAAAATGTGCAAAATGTGCAAAATTCGCAAAACACGCAAAACACGCAAAGTGTGCAAATGAGCAGTGGGAAAAGTAGGGACTACAATTACAGTAGCAGCAGCAGTGTGAACATCAACCCCTTCTCTCGGACCTCCCCGGCGAGTTTAGAAAACAAAATGTGCAAGAAGCCTGTAAGCCTTGCTGCCCTAGCAGAACCTGATGTTAAAAAGGAATCAACTTTTTTCAACATTAAAAGTCTTCTAGGCGTTTCTGATAAATCGGCGTCATCCCCAGCGCCCCCGAAAGGAAAGAGTTATTCCTCCCCGAACATCCCCCCGGCCTTTCCGCAATAGCGCAGAGTACAGAAAGAGCGCATGTAGAAAACTGCGCCCTTTTATGTCTGCGCAGGACGGATCAAAGAGAAATTTTTTCATTAATGTGGAGATGCAGGGGCGTGGTTAGATGCCAATAGGAGGGGGCAGAATATCAATATAGGAATATACCCCTATAATGTAAGCACCCCCCCGTTCCCCTGCCTTACATCCTCGTCGCACCGTTACAGCTGGGTCTCTTCACTTTCATACACACACATGTGCTTGCCAGAACGCGCGCGCACAAAGGGAGAGTCTCATTTGTTTTAGTTTACGTATGGGTATATATATATATATGTGCCTGTATGTATGCGTGTTTATGAGTTCCCGTGCGCATGCAGTGTACAGACTCGGCCTGCCGTAGTCCTCGAAGATGCCCATGTCAGCAGTTTGGCGTTTCTATAACACGGATGTTTTTTACCCTACAGAGGGACTGATTATTCTTAAAAAAAATAAAGAAAAAAAAAAAAGGAAAGCCAGAACGTTGATTGGGCTGTTGATCTGTTAATCTTTCGAGATGCTTGTACAGTTATATTGCACAGATGCGCTCACGTGTGTGAGCATGTAGTGTTGTGTACATATTTAATTTTTTTGTTCATCCCCTTTCCACCATTTTTTATTCCCTTTTTTTTTTTTTTTTTTTTTTTCGCGTCTTCCTCCATTCGTGCATCGGCAAAAAAGTTGTCCCCTTTTTTTTTTAATTGCACATAAGGGGTCCTTTGCCATGTCTTGCACACTCACTTACATTTGAAAGCACACACATATGTCGACCTTCCAAGTCGTATGTATATGTGATGTGTTTTTACGGAGAGGGGAATACCCTACGTATGTGTTCCCCACATCCGCTTCACGCCTCCTTCTGTTTTAAGTATTAACCATAGGACGGCAACAGCAACAGTAGTAGCTGCGATCGCGCATTTTACGCCTCGTCCACTCTACAGCTGACCGTTTTTTTTTTTTTTTTTTCGTCACACACCCACACTCATGTATGATTTATATTTTTGTAAAAAACCTTCACATCATAGAATTTTTTTTTAAAGTTTTTATTCCGTCCTTGTTTGGGTCAGTATGTTAACGAGTTGATGGAAGTTTCGCACACAACACATGGTTGTGAGGATATAATTTTTGCAAAGGGATGCAAGAAATGCGCACACAAAAGGTTGAGATTTTGTATGGCAATTCGCGCAAAGGTGCATATACGCAGGGATGCATTTAGAAGGTCATTCAAAGACGTGGTTTAAAGAAGCATGTTTGGGAAGCATGCGCGGGGGCATATTCTCCCCCGTTATAGCACGCATGCATACATATGTGAAAAAAAAAAAGATAATAATAAATAAAAATAACATAAAATAAAATAATGAAACAGCATAATTAGCTATAGGAACATGGGCTGGGTGCGAACATGATTCTTCCAACTTCCCTTCGCAATGGATCTACAACCTCGGTGCACAGCGCCCCCATGATCTGCCACATGCACTCCGGTGCCCAGCGAGCTGAGGCGTTCACTTGAGTTTCTTCTTTGGTCTCAATTGATTTGTCCTTCCGCACTTTTTGTTCCTGCAGTTGGTGGCTCTTGGGTGTAATCTGGCATAGCATTTTCTGCAAATCAATTTCTGGCAGTTGTACTTTTGTGCCAATTGGGCAAGGGATGGTTCGATTGCTCCTCCTCTTAATCGCAGCACCTAGGGGTAGGGGAAGAAAAGAGAAAAAAAAAAAAAGGATATCAACACGATGTCGCACTGTTTTCTCGGCAGCGAAACGAGCTGAGATGAGAACGTTCTCAACAAGTATATGCAAAGCTTAAATCACCGATGCTGGGGTGATGAAGGTAGAGAGGCACGTATGTACACATTATATTATACATGGATGTAGCATCGTTCAGATATCTCCATGCAAAAATGCACGTTCCAATGAACAGCATTTTGTGCACTTTAAATGACTGCTCGTCGAGTGCAAGGGGGACAAAAAACAACACGATAAATACGGCCGTGGTGTTAAAATGGCTCGGCCGCCTTTTCCCAAACAGAATTTGTTTCGCATATATTTGTTTGCGAATATATATGTATACGTAATTTATATGTAATTTTGTTTTATAGGGTCAAATATTTATTATTACCAAGTGCAAGGTGGACTCCTTCTGGATGTTGTAGTCAGCCACAAACCTGACATCCTCCAATTGTTTTCCTGAATATATTAGCCTCTGCTGGTCAGGTGGGACTCCGTCCTTATGTTCAATTTTTGATTTAACATTCCTAATGGTTTCGGATGGCTCCACATCCAGGGTGATGGTTCTTCCGCTTAATGTTTTTACGAATATTTGCATTTTGATTAACAAAGGAGGGGATAATGAAAAAAGGGACTTGACAGGGAAAAGGGAAAAAACTTGCGCGGATGGAAGTTTATATAATCGCTTTTCGTTTTTTTTTTTTTTTTTTTTCGTTCTTTCGTTTTTCTTGTTTCCCACAATATTTAAAAGGGATTTCCTCTATTACATAAAATTGGGCGAACGTTTATTTTGCTAAGTAAAAATTGGATAATTTTTTTTTCGAAAAAAAAAAAAAAAAATTCCAATATATTTTATGTTGTATTTTATATTATATATAAATGAATATACTTAAATAATTTACACGCAACAAAAAAATGTTTATTCCACAGCGTGGGGGCCCTTTTTTTGTTTCTTTTCCTTTCCCTCTTAAAAAGCGTTCGCGCCGCAAAACTTGCCTGCAAAATTTTGTTAAACGTGGGCTCTCTGATTATTTTTCCGAAAAAAAAAAATCTTGCCCCTGCAGGTATTGTTATATGTAGAGAAAATAACATGTATTTACCTACTACATATGTTGTTCATAATATTGTATATGCACTACTTGGTTCATAAGATGGGTCCTTGAAGCCACCACTTCAACGCTCATAATAAAAAAAGAAAAGAAAAAACATTAATATTTAAAGCGTTATTTCGTCCATTCGCGCAGCCCCCACATGCGGCATATAAAAACAAATATAAAAACATGTTGCTTAATTATACGCGCATATTTTTTTCAACAGTTTAAATACACTTTCGGCATCGCGCAATGGGGAGCCGACGCAATTTAACAAGTGCATAAGTTTGGCGGTATATATAAAAAAAGGGCGGGTGGCATAGTGGAGGCGCAGTTAACCAAGCGAGAATGGGTATACCTCATAAAATACGCGCAGTGTGCAATATATATATTTTTACCTATGCAATAATTTTAAATGGGCATACCCATTTTTTTTTGAGCAATTTTTAAATCCCCGGGTTGGGGCTAAACAAGCATATGGTACATTGAAACAGGTTTCTCTTGGGGACTTTCCATTTTCAACGCGCTTTTGTTTAACTTGGCAACAACTTGGAATTTTTTTTTTTTTTTT